AAAATGCTACTAGAAAATACATGCATGCAGAAACCCTCGCCTTACTGACAAAACATTATGTTTTCTGAATATGAAGAATTGAAAGTAGTTGTCATGGTATTAACGATAATTTTAAGAATAGTTTTAAAATTGAAAAATCCCTCCAAAATATCACTTTTAATTAATAACAAAATTATCAATTTCCCAAACATATATATGCTAGGTATGTTATTATACGTAATATAAACTTCAATTTAATGTAAAATTCAACCACAAACGCTTCGCAAAATGTTTTAAAATCTTCTTAAAACTAAACGGCCTTTTATCGAATTATCGGTAAACATTGAGCTTGAAATAAATTGATTTCAAATTCTCGCATGAAAATAACTTTGCTTTCCTCTTTATTTAAATACTTTAATATACAAAAGAAAGGGTAATTAATAAAACTACACTGAAATTATATGCTGTCTTTTTTCACTTACATACGCAATGATAGTATCAGTTCGATATTTTCTATTCTTTTCGACGTTTTTTGGCTCTCAGAAAGGTTTTGAAATTTACAAAATCTTGCAAAAATACAACTTGCAAGAAATGTTTGTTATTTTGCTGTCGTCAATGCGGTCGTTTAATGCAAATTCTAAATTTGACCAATCAGTGTTCACTATTCACGACAGTCCGCTACATATTTTGAGATCAGTGAGGATGACCACCCATGAACGGTGAGCCATGCGCCCATGATATTTGATGAACTTTAGACTTCGCTAGTGCGTTCCTTTCCCGGGTGTAAATAGCCGGACGGAATTAGTACCCTCGCACGGCGCTTCGGGCAGTCGGCTCGGGGAAAAAATGTACTCCTTGTTTTATACACGCTTTATAATCATGTTTGGAAAAATCTCTTTAGTTCAAATCACAATTATTACATACTACCTTTGCATAGACGATGTTTTTAAACTGAGATCCAACTGAAGTCTTAAATACAGTAAAACTGCCTATTTAGAATTAATCACGACAAACAGCGGAATATAAAAAGCACGTAAGTTCGAATGCCGATAATTTTAGAACTAGTCAATAATCCCAGCGACAAATTTTTAGAAAATTTCTTATTTCATCTTGTCACGTCATCCTGACCCCCTTGAAGCTTTATTTAAGACCCTATATATTTTCTGTTCAAATGTATGTTTTTCCGGAAGTGGGCTTTCTGTGCTCGCAGGGAAACTGCCTACAATAACCATGAAATTACTCATTCTGATTGGCTTAGAGCGAAATTGCCAACAAATGCGCTGATTGGTCGAAATTTCTCCTTGTCATCAGTACTAACTTGTCGTTGAGAATCTTGATTCAATTTCGCTGGTATACGCATTTTGTTTCTGGATAGATTTTCACCAGCAGGGAAATTCTAGATGCTGATACTGTAATTGTAGTACCTCTAGCTTTATGATTGAAGTCGGCAAGCATTAACTCAATCACGATTTGAAATTCAAATTCTGCCTCTACCTGTCAGTAGTGGAAAGATTCTGCTTATAGCCTTTCAGCTAGGATAACGAATTCCAATAAAAAGGAATAAGTCAAGTAAAAAAAGACTGGTAGTAATCAACGGTAACTGTACGATAGCAAGATTTTAAATAGTGTAAATGCCTCAATCCAAGGGTCCATTCTTCGAGGGAATAGACTGCACCTCGCCCACGAGCTCAGTACCGACAACTCCATCAAATAATGGACTAGTTTCGGATTTTTATCATTTCGTATACTGGATTAGGAATTGCCTCTCCTCAGACAAGTATACATGGATTCACAATATGTACTCAATACTTCTGAAATTCATTAATAATTCATGAGCAATTCAGCCAATGATAATCACCTATTTGATCACAAGATACCATTTGGATAACCCGGTGAAACTTGATGAAAGTCACTAGTGTTTTCATCAAATATCTTAATTATTCATGCAAAATTACTTGAATAGAATTCCTAATTATGTTACGCTTGGTTAAGAATTCTATTCATATCAGCAAACGAAAACATTCTGTTATACGTCTCGATTCATTTGAGAAGCCATATAAACAACTCGAGCTCGTGTCTCGCGGGATATCCCGGTGAAACACTCGCTCTCGTTGTTCATATATTACTTCCTACCTCTGTGCGGTGTAATCGTATTTAAATCTACAAATTATAAAAGTACAAGTACTCACATTCCGCTCCGTATCATTTGAGTTGCACATTCTTTGTGGACTTTGTGGGAACAGGGAAGGATTTGACATCCAGTGAAAGCATCCTGCACGAAAAAGAAATTAAGATCTGTTTATGACCCGGGTTAATGCTGAGAGCATATTAAATTCTGTTTCCACGTAAACCCTATTGTAGCGATTCGTAGCGTATGCCATTGTTTTGTAAGCACCAATGCAACTAATGCCATTGGCACAACAAACACTAGGCCTATGTGATGATTAAGTGGAGAACAGCCTTTTTGCCATTTCACGCCAATTAGCAGAATGACATCAACTTAGTTGTACAGAAATTTAAGAGAAGAGCTCGAATTGATACAGTACCTCCAAACAAATGCAACATTCATCATGGGCAGAGCCTTCACGACATTTGTGATTTCCACGAAGTTGAACATCCAAACAAACACCACAGACATCACAATGGAACGAACGATCTCCATGAATTCTACATTAAAACAAATAAAGTATTTCACTGAATTTATGGGAAACTTTATCAGTTTTGGACTGTTTACACAGTGGTACACTAAGGAGGGGTTAATAGAATTTATTATATACACAAGGTCTGGATATGAGGTATTCTGCAATCTGATTGGTTCTCTACTAGCAGGATATTAGCTCATATCCTGCTAGTAGAGAAAAACAAAATGGCGGCTCAAACTGAATTTCCGACGTTTTGCGAACCAGAAAACGGCAAGTTGTTCGCTTTTTATAGCCTTTACAGAATTAAAAACACAATGAAAAAACTCCCACAAATTGTTTACAGGTTAGCAAAGGAATTTTTAAAATTTGAAATGGTTAAAAATATATATTTTTGAAGAAAAAAAATCGGCCGAAAAAGCGATGATAAAAACATAAACAAAATAGAAAAATATTGAAAATATCCGAAAAGCAAAGTCTGTGAATTCAGACCTTGTGTATATAATAAAACAGTTATTCCACTCACTCTCGTCGAATATGAGCGATAGCCGATTCGGCGCTACGCGCCTCATCGGCTATCAGCTCATATTCGACTCGAGTTCGTAGAATAACTGTTAATTATACTGGATAGCTCAATCAGTTCCAAACTGTTCTCACTCTGAGAGGTCCAGTAAGAGCATACTCTAGTGGTTCAGTCTTACTACTTTGAGGTCAACTATAGAAGCATTCAACTCACATGCTTGCAACCGTAGCGAAATTTTAATCACACAACTGCAGTGCATGCATATATTGTACGAATTAACACATATATTTGTCATGAACACCTTGTCAATTCATAAATGCACTACACCAACGCAGAAAACGTGTTAAGGTCGAGGAAGACTTCTTACAGCCATATATTTGTCACACATACACATTATAGACAAGAAAAAACTGTCAATATTTTCTCGTGTTCACCAGCAAACAAAAATATTAACATGCTTGCATGTCATAATTAGTGTAGACATGGTTTTGGGACTTTTGGCCGCACACGAGCGCGTTTATTATATAATCTATTTTCTTCCATGTTTTTTTAGAGTAAATGGAGCTCTGTCAAATATGCCCGAATTTTCAAAAACGTTTAATTGTCCGTTGAATAGCAAAATGAATCCAAAAAAAAAGTGTGATTTGTGGTGATTTGATGTCTATCATGTACGTACGTACTCTATTTTTTATTCCTGTTGAAAGGATACTAATGTGTTCAATTTTTAGATCAGTGATTCCCCATATGCATTTATACTTGATAGCTTTATCAGTTCCAAAATGTTCTTCCTATATATAGACCTCCCAGAGGTACAGTAAAGGTTATCTCTTTTCGGTCCAGTGTTACTACAGGAGGAAACTTAAACTAAATTTACTTCAGACTGGATTGCTCTATGAGTTCTAAACTGTTTTCCCTTGAGGTACAGTAAGGGTCATCTCTTATTGTGGTACAATCATACTGCCGGAGGAAACCTAAACTAAACTTGCGTTATTTATACTGGTCAGCTCTATATCGGTGCTAAACTGTTATCCCTTGAGTTGAGGTACAGTAAGGGTTATCTGCATCTCCTATTAGTACAATGTTACTACAGGAGGAAAGTTTAACCCAAACTAAACTCACTTTATTTATACTGGATTGCCTCATTGGTTCTATTAAACTGTGCTTCCTTGAGGTACAATAAGGATCATCTCTTATTGATCCAGTGTTTAATATATACTCATAGGCGTACCGGGTTGTTTAAAAAAAAAATTGGAAAAATTATGTCAATTTTTTCGAAAATTTAGAAAATTTTGTGGCAAATGTAGAAAATTTAGTTAAATTATGTGAAGCTCCGAAAAATTTTGGTATGTCCGGAAAATTTTTTTGACCCCTTAAATGGTACACTGACCTAAATTTTTTTGGCGACGGGGGGGGGGGAGGTCGCCAAAATAAATTTTCCGGAAAAAAATTTTTGGTACTAGTCGGGCACAATCACGAAAAGTCGGGCAATTTTACGAAAAGTCGGGCAATTTTCTTTCCGCCCCCCTAATTTTTTCTTTCCGGTACGCCCATGTATATACTACAGGAGGAAACTTGAATCAAACTAACTTTATTTATACTGGATATACTAGCTCAATCAGTTCTAAACTGTTCTCACTTTCGAGGTCCAATAAGAGCATACTCTACAGTGGTTCAGTCTTACTGCTTTGAGGTCAACTACTTTGACCACAACGCACAAATCGTTTCCAGGTCGAGGAAGACCCCATACAGCCATATTTGTCACACATACACATTAGTCAAGAAAAACCTGTCCAATAATTTCTCGTATTCACATTGTCAAGCAAACGAAAGGTTTTAATTAACATGCTTGCATGTCACTATAGACTAGAGGTGTGCAAATCTGATCCGAAACCGATCCGAATCCGATCCGATCGGATTCGTTCGGATTTCGGAACCAAAATATTCATTTCGGATCGGATTGATAAAGTTGTTTCGTAGTCGGATCGGATTTCGATATTCGATATAAAATGAATTAATTATCCACGCATTATCGCAAGAATTAATTATCCACGCATTTATCAAAGTATTATCGCGGTTGTCGCTGCATTATTCGTTTATTAATACTTCAATTGGACGTCACTTTGTCAGCTTCTTAACATGTATATCTTGCTTTTATATTTACTTAGTTAAATATTTCAACTTGAAAGAGAAATTTATTTTATTAAAGAATTCTTCGGATCGGATCGGAATTGTTTATCAAAACTCGGATCGGATTCGGATTAGACAATTTCGAATCGGGTCGGATTTTAAACATTAGGCAATTGTCAGATTATAAACGTCCAATCCGATCCGATGCACACCTCTACTATAGACATTGCATGTTTATTGTATCATCTATTTTCGTTCATGTTTTTCTAGGGTAAATTTATCGGGAGCTCTGTCAACTATGACCGAATTTTCAAAAACGTTTAACTGTCCGTTGAATAGCAAAATGATCCCAAAATAAGATGTGATGTGTGGTGATTTGAGAGAGAGAGAGAGAGACGGATTTATTAACTTAAGTGCCTGTTTTGTATATCGAGTTCTTTATTTAATATTAAATTGTCAACTAAAATACGTATACCTTTTGTTTATATTGAGTACCTGATCTATAACATTCCTTTTAATTAAACTGTTTTTCTTTGAGGTTTAGTATAAGGAACACCCCTGGCTTTGCTGCAGGTATACTATATAGAGGATACTTTCATACTTATAACTTATCCAGCTTGAATATAACTTTATTTATTTCGTTCAATTCCTGGTAAAGATCAGACTAGAAATGCGCACACTTCCTTACAAAGTATATTATCTCCATTTACCTAAAGGCATTTGCTTCTTGATCTCGTCTTAATAAAGGCTATCGACAAAGGCATGACGCATGATTGAGTACACTGCTCGTTCCCAGGCTCTTACCTCTTGTGGAGGAAAGACCCTGGTAGGAGCTGGTCACGTTTTTTTAATTGATGATGATGATTCTGATAAATATTTGATATAAACTTGCGTTTTGTCTTTCCTCCACAAGAGGTAAGAGCCTGGGAACGAGGTTGGATTGAGTATACCTATATACATAAACACTGATGCATGCATGCATCCGTATCAAAATCTGATCAGTGAGTCTGCATACTTGGATAATAGACAGATTTAGATCGAGGACGCGGAGGTCAAAACCGACGTGAAAATGGCGTGGCATATCCATAGATGGGCACAACACGTCATTTTCACGTCGTCTTTGACGTCCGCATCCTCGATCTAAATCTGTCTATAAATATCGGTTATAAAGGTTATAACATTCGGATGACATTGCTATTAAGTTTAGAATTTGCTTTCAAATTAAACGTCTTCAACAGTAATGAGTAAAACCATAGACAATTTTTGGGCAAACCACATTTTAATGAACCTTTTTGCACAGATATATACAAGTCGTATTTTAGATTAAATTGTAATATTTGTACAAAGAATTCAGGTATTACTCGTGATGTAAAACCACATAACTGTCATTTATCATGTGATTGAGCATTCAAGTCATATTCCTATAGTCCTCCAGTGCAGTTCACCATTGATTAATATGCTACTAAGTAAAGTGTGCCCAAATTCCATGCAGTGCAGTTCATCATTGATTAATATATTTGCCTTAAATTTCTATACTAAGTATAATGTAAAGCTTATGCTAAAATCCTAAACGTTATCCTAATTCAACTTTCCGTAATCCCGTTTGATATCAACACGAAAATAATCTCACAAGTTGCAAATAAAACCGGTGATTCCACTTTTCTAAAAACAGTTATTATATATCTATACTGTCGTGCATGCAGACCTATAAAAGAAACTTATTTCAATATTTCACAACCATGATGATTAATGAAATCTGAAAATGACGACTGGAAGGAGAGGATCTAAGCAGTTTTCAGAAAATAAAATCAACTGGTTTACAAATTGTGAGATGTTTGCTTGAGTAGATGTTGTTTATATCGTATGGCACGTTTTTGGACATTCAACTTAACACATTGATTCTCAGTACAGCACTTTCTGGAACGACTACCGCATGTCTTCTTTAAACAAATTCTTTTACTTGTGTTCCTATTTCCTGTTAGTTTACTCCAGTGTTTTTCATGACAGTCACAGGAGCATTCGTGCACGCGACTCGCGCAAATGAAGTGGTGATAGTGCTTAATGCACTTCTTGTAGATGCGCTCGTGGCAATTTTGACAGCATTCGACGAGGGGATAGTAGATGAAGGAGCCGTCAGCCAACTCCAGTAATCCGACGATACTGCACCAGTGCATAGGGAAGCCTCTCTGTAATAGTATTGAAAGAAAAAAAATAAGAATGAAAACAGTCGTTGCGAATGATAGTTTGATTTTGAAACTCAATATTCAGTGAAAAAAAACACTACTCAACAGTCGTTGCGAATTTATTACAAATTCATTATCAGACTAAGCTATAATCCGATAATCGTATGTCGTTCGATAAAACCGAAGAAATATAAAAATTACAGGTGATTTATTGTACGTATACTGGGTAATGATATAAGCTAACTCATGCTCCAGCACCTTATATATTAATTATAAAATTAACTAAATGCTTTTTTTTATATTTTGGTAAGCCATGGTGAAAATTTGAGAAAGGTGGTTCTATATTAAAGGGAAATGGCAATATATTTTTTTATTTTCTCGTTTTAAAGAACATTTAAAATCGTATAGAAAACTCCTTTACAGTTTTTTCATATCTTGCTTACTTCCACAAATATTTTAATCGAAAGAAATGAAATGTCCGCCATCTTGGATTTTTGTAGATATGCATGTTACGTCACAACAGGGGTCACGCAATATTTTTATCTAGACAACCACTAGTCATTTTGCACT